CGGTGGCTGCGATGATGGGCTCAAGTATAGCAGGGATTGTGGGGCTGGCACGGGATAGGGCAGTGTTTCATTCTGCTGTGCATGGGGTCGCTATGAGCCGGAAACAACTCGATGGCACTTAACAACAACAACAACAACAATATTTCCAATTACCCGATGAAATAAGTCCTATTATGCTCATTCTACAAATGAGGACTCTGATACCCACATAACAGGGCCAGAGTGACATGGCTGTTAGTTGGCCAAGGCTAAATATGCACATAGGCATCTGGCTCAAGAACCTCTCTGTATTCTTAACCTCTGGAATCTATTGCTGTGAAAAGAGGGAAACTAAAAACCAACCAAAAGGACTAGGATAAATACAGTACAGCCATTGAATACAATGCTAAGAAACTTATGAAAATAATGCAGATCTGTATTTATTAGCATAATAAACAACTGAAAAAACTGCTATGAGTCAGAATTGACTCAACAACACCTAACAACAATAGTGTAGAGATGATCCATAATTTATTTGTTGATCAATATTTATTGAACTCTTAATGTTATAAAAATTAACTTTATAAAAGCTAACTTTAAAACATGAAGAAATTATCTTGCAAAAAAATGTAACTTTCTATACCTAAATATGAGAATTCAAAACATGGCACACATTCTTTCCAGTGTTAAACAAGTATAGACTAAAATACCAATACAATAAGCAAGGGAGGAACTGAATTCCTAGCATATAAATTTCAATCTGGAAGCAACTTTTATCCTCTAATCCAGTTCCACAACAGTCTCTTAACAGAGAAGAAAGTGCGTTAAAAAAAAAAAAAAAAAAATTCTACTGTGTTGAAATTTCTAGAATTTGAATGTGCAGGCTATCATATGAATCTCTTCTAATAGAAGAGAAGTATAACTTTACAGATAATAAACAAGAATTACTTTTGAAAAGTACAATGAAGAAGAGTTAAGAGGAAACTGATGAACAGCCATATCATAATTAGTTTTCTTTCTACGTTTAAGCAGTAATAACTGTGCCCTACATAGTATAGTCAATTGTACCTGTGATAATGTATTTTGGAAATTAAAGAACATAAGCAATAACTGAACTTGTGTAGTCTGATGTCGTCCACCTCCCCCACCCCACCCCTGTGTAGAAGAAAAGTTATTCTACCTGGCCAAATCCATGCAGCTATCAGTGAGGTTGGTAGAAGAATTGAAGTACTCTTTGCTGGCAGCCAAAACCAAGTCAATACTTTTTTCATAACTGACCCTGTACTGGGTTTTCCCTTTATGGGCTATACTAGCTGGTGGGTTTATCGAGCTAGCAGTGCAATGCATCATCTGACCAGCCAGGTGGATATTTTCAAGGTGACTGGAGCACAGAAGGCTTTCGGTAAATATCTGGGAAAAGAAGAAACTGGAATTAGTGCTAAAGAGAGATGATTTGGTTCTCAGTAAAATGCTCTGGAATTTGGGCAATCTACTTCCGTAGTGACACTGCCTTGGAAACCCAAGGAGGGGGTCGCTATGAGTCAGATCCGACTCAACAGCAGTGAGTTCGAGTATTTGAGTATTTTATACACACACACACATATAAAATATATGTGTGTATATATACATACGTAACATTCAATCCTCATTATTCACAAATTCTGTACTAGTGAATTTCCCTACTCATTAAAATTTATTTGTAACTCCAAAGCTAATACTCAGGGTACTTCCATAGTAATTTACAAATATATGTAAAGTGGTGAAAAATCTGATCAGCACATTCCCAATTGAAGTTTAACAAGGCAACACTTTCCCTCCTTATTTTAGCTTCATACTCTAAACAAGTGTTCTTTTTGCAATCTCTTTAGTGACATATTTTTCAGATTCTGTGCTTTTTCTTGGTGATTTTGTGTTTAGAATGGACCTCAAGCATAGTGGTTGAGTGCTGTGTACAGACCCCTAAATACAAGAATGTTAGAAGGCGCCTTACAGGGAAAATATGCGTATTAAATAAGCTTCATTTGGCCATGAGTTATAGTACTGTTTCCATGAGTTCAATGTTAATGCATCAACAACATACAGTATACTAAATAAGGTTTTTTTTAAACAGAAATAAACATAGAATAAGATTATGTATTGATCAGTATATAAAAATGTTGACGCCAGAGGCTTGCTTTACTTCCTTTGGAGCAATGGTTCCGTATTCGCTAATTCAGTGTTCCTGGGGACTTAATAGAATATAACTACCACAAATAGGAGCTCTGGTAGCATAGTGCCTAAGGCACTTGACTGCTAACCAGAAGGCTGGCGGTTCAAACCCACCAGACACTCCTCAGAAGGAAAGGTGGGCAATCTATTTCCATAGTGGTACTGCCTCAGCAACCCAAGGAGGGGTCACTATGAGTCGGGGCCGACTCGATGGCACACAACAACAACACTGCAAATAATAAGAATCGACCATATGTCCATCCTAGAAGCGGTAGTTTCACAACACTGTCAATGTGCTAAAGGCCACTGACTTGTACACTTTAAAATGGTGAATTTCATGTTATGTGACTTTCACCTCAATTAAAAAATATATACATACTCATCCTTTTGGAAGGAGAAAAACTAATTTCACTCAATGAACCAAAAATAAGTATTATATTTTAATGTGTTACAATGAATACTTGAGTCAAGCAGCTATAGTTCATATTCATTAATAAATATGGTCCTTTAGACATACTTTTCCACACTCAATAGGGTCCACTCCTATTGAACTGTACAACTATTTCATTGCAAGATAGCCAATTAAATATTTAAAAGAAAAATTTTGAATATAATATATATAATTCATAACTACTTAAAGTATCTGAATTCAGTTTACAAACTAATTGGCAAGCCACAAAAGTTAGTTATACCTAATCATTGAATCAATATACCATATTGCATTGAATATTTCTCCAACATACAAATTAAAAACTATTTCCACATAAGGAGCCATTGGTGGGGGGCATTCATGAAAAATATTGTGTTTTACTACACAATATAGTATCAATTAAAAATAAAGATTAATTCTATAATTGAAATTTATATACTTAGTATAGAAAAATAATTAAACAGATATTCTTTTAAACTTACACTAATAATATTGATATATAATTAACCTAAGAACTTCAGTAACAAGGGGCTTCCCTATAAACCCAATTATTTGACAAAAATGAGGATACCACAGAAATAGGACCAATACATGAAAAAAAAAAAGAAAACTTCATGAAGAAACAAGAGTTTCTTTATTATTAAGAAGATCATCCAATTACTTTAAAACCCAAAAAACAAGCCCACTGCCTTGAGTCAATTCTGACTCAGAGCAACTTTACAGGACAGAGCAGAACTTCCCTCTAGGGTTTCCAAGGCTGTAAATCTTTATGGAAGCAGAATGCGTCATATTTCTCCTGCAGAGTGACTGGTGGGTTGGAATCGCTAACCTTTCAGCCAGCAACCAAATGCTTTAAACATTGTACCACCAGAGCTCTGCCAACGGTTATAGGATTTTTTTATTTTTATTTCTTTTGTGTGTAGGCTTCCTGGGGAAGGAATTTTTAAACAGGTCTCACTTGCCATATCTGATATGATCAGCTATAAAACAGATATTATGACAGAGAGCAAATTATTAACGAGCCATCCTAATCATTTATGTAGGACAGATGAAAATGGCATGTTCCAAGTCGAACACAAATGACTTGCATGTGACAATTTCCCTATTACTTGGTTTATTAAAGTAAGTCATAAAGAGTCAATGTCCCACATTAAAAAAAATCCATTATACTCAACTTACAAGGTTTTAGTAAAATAAAATGAACAACGTACATTTCTGTTCTACAGGCAGTACGGAAATCTTTATCTAACATTTTCAGAAAATGTGCTATTGAGCTTTCAAATTATTTAGCAATGACAACAAAACCGAATGGCCTAAAGTCAGTAAGATAATATAGCATAATTCAAAAGTTACTAAAATAATGTATCAAATTTTAAATTTGTTAAATCTTAATTTATTACCTTCTACAGCTTTTCACAACTGTAATAAATAGGCTTTCAAATGTTTTCTCAAAAGAAAGAGATTGGTAGTGAGAAGTCATAAAATATCAAAGACTGAAATACTAAAATTTTTTTTTAAAAAAAACTAGAATGTTAAGTTGTTCAAAAAAATTACTCCCTACAGGATCAAGTTCAAGTATAATATGTTCATTGTCAATTTTTCAATAAAAACAGAAAAAGGAAAATAACAAAACAATGGCACACCAACTTAAAAACACTACTTCCGAATTACTAATGACAGTTCTATTTTAGACCTCATGTGTATACAGATTGTTTTCTCTTGAAATGAGATTGCAAGTGTCACTTTACATCCAATAGGGAAAGTACTGGCAGTCGTGCTTGGTCTGAGACTGAAATCATCAAAATGAAGTATTTAAGAAACTGAAATTCAAATAAAAAATAGAAAAGCATTTATTTTTCACCAGTATACATTAGAGCTCTTTTGTTAAAATCATCTTGAATTAAAATACTAAATAATTTCACAAGAGATCTATTTTTAATTGTCTTCAATGAGTGACAGAGCAGAGAAGCACAAGAAATATTCTACGTGAGTTTGCGCCTGGCTAATTATTAACAAAATTCAAATGAGAATTTTAGACTATATCTCATTAAAAATGGGTGGTAAGATTACTTTTTGATGCAAACAATGAGTAATTTATTGGTGTTTTTGTTGTTGTTGTTGCTACATGGTGCCCTTGAGTTGGCCCCGACTCATAGTGACTCCTCCTTGGGTTTCAGAGGTGGAATCACTATGGAAGTAGATTGCTTGACCTTTATAGAGAAGTGGCTAGTGGGTTTGAACCAGCCTTCTGATTAGCAGTCAAATCCCTTAGGCACTATGTTACCAGAGCTCTTTAATTTATTGGTAATATGTAATTTCCAAAATAATGAGTAAGTTCCCCTAGGTTATACTCCTAATCAATTAACAATCATTTGTTAAGTATCTTTTATGTTTCAGACAGCAATATAAGCATTGTAGAAAATGAGAATGAACAGGATACAACAACGCCTACCTAGGAGCTCATGACCAAACAGAAGAAGCACACATACAAAACAAATAACTGTATCCTAAAGAAAGGCTATAATAATGGGAAGTTAAATGAAGGGCAAAGGAAGGCATCACATAAGCCACAGTCCTTGAACTGAGTCCTGGAAAGTTAACAGGAATTTTTTAAATAAAGGAAAAAGAAATATGACATTCCAAGCAAAAGAAACAATGTACAAAAAGTCATAGAAACATGAAACAGCATGGTGTGTGGAGGGATTCATGACAGATTGATGGAGCTAGAGCTCATGGTGGAGAATGACAGAGATGAGAGTGGACACGGAGAGTGGAATCTGCTGTAGCTTTCTATGTCATGTTAAAACGTATGGATTTTTCTGATTGTTGATATGGAATAAGCAATAAAATTTAAGGAGGTGGTGACATAAAAAGATTTATTTCACAATACTCAAAACTGGAATGATCTGGAAATAAATATTGGGGTAGGGAGACAAGTTAGAGGACTAGGGCAATCTGGCAGAAATGATGAGAATCTGGAGCAGCAGAGTACAAATAACATAGGACAAATTTGAAAGAAATTTATCATGTATACTTAATAAGTTTCAGTGAAATGAGAAAGGAGTTAAGTGTGAGTCTAGCTGAGAACATTAAATAGATAGCACTGCAAAGAACCTAGATAAAGAAGAGAGATGATGAATAAACTCACTATATCAATAAACTTATGTTCAATAAACTACTATAAAGCACAATTGTCAGCTATAATTCAATAGTATTATATTAAAGCTTATAAACTTCAACCTTTTTTCCAATAAACAAAATGTAACCACTAAAATTTCTAAATTAAAAGGAAATAAATTACATAAATAATTACCTCATAGCAAGCATCAGAATCTAGACATGTGTAAACACTCTGCTGCATAGCTAACATGTCTTGCAGCAACGTTCTCCAGTAAGATTCACTGACAGGAGGCTGCCTGGGAGAGTGGAAAAAAGGAACAGGAGGAGAAAAAGATTCATGAAATTTCTCTCTTCAATTGGCTAGACATAGATAAAATTAGTGCCAGCATTCTATAGGCTACCCAAACTTACAAATTATATGGCTCATATGAATTTCCAGGGGAAAAAAACAAAAAGCTTGGATTGAAAATAGAGGTGTCTTAGTTATCTAGCGCTGCTACAACAGAAATATTGCAAGGAGATGACTTTAACAAACAGAAATTTATTTTCCCACAGTTTAAGGGCTAGAAGTCCAACTTCAGGGTGCCAGCTCTAGGGGAAGGCTTTGTCTCTGTGTCAGCTCTAGAGGAAGGTCCTTGTCTCTTCTAAGCTTCTGCTCTTGGACAATTTTCATGTGGCTTGGCATCTCTCTTCCCTCATCTCTGCTTCTCTTGCTTGTTTAATCTCTTCTGTATCTCAAAAAAGATTGACTCAAAACACTAGTGTAGGCACTAGTTCTATCTCATCAACATAACAAAGGCAACCTAATGCCAATGGGATCATAACTACAAACGTAGAAGTTGGGATTTACAACACGTATTTTTGGGAGACATAATTCAACTCATAAGAGAGGGAAAAACTGGACAATTATCCGCAATACTACTAATGCTGCCACAGCTTCATCTGTCCTAGGCTGCCTAGACACAAAGCTAGAATAATATATTAAATGGTAATCACAAAGAGTCTCTAAGGTAAAATAAAACATGATAAGATAAGCAGCTATGATATAGCTGAAAAAAGCATTTGATGATAGGAGAATTAGTTTCAAATCCCTTCTTCATCACTCTGAAACCCCCACAAGGGGGTCTTTTTAACTTCAATTAAACAGTCAGATACACTTGGCAAAGGCCACACTTAGCATCAATTTATGTGTGGATCAAGAACCACAGTTTGACAATAAGGAAGCATCAGTTGTTTCTTTCAGTTGGTGTTCTTGAAGCAGTTCACAGCATTACAAGAGTCATCTTCCTTCCAGGTAATAGACAGTTCAGGTGCAAGTAGACAGGGCCATAGAGCATAGGTGCAGGAATTGCCCTGTTTGGTAGGAAAAAGCCTCATTTCCTTAGGTACAAATCCACAGATACAGTTTTCAACATCTCCTAAAGGGACATGCCAGTCATCACACTCAGAATAGCCCAAAGAATGGAGTTCCTATCAAGTGTTTCTAGTTCATTTATACATCTTCCAGTTCAGATTCAATTTACCAATCAGGGATCAGTTTTACCATAAGCAGTGAAGTCTAAGCAATCTGGTTGCTCAAATACCATTTTATGTCTGTTTCCAGAGTTACACAGCTAGGGGATTAATGGTTCAGACTCTCCTGCAGCAGGAGATAGAATATGTTAACACTTTCATCCATAGTCACGTACTAACTACTTACTAACTGTGTGATCTGGAGCAAGTTATTCAATATTTGTGAATTTCAGTTTTCTTGTTCAAAGCTCAGCTCAGAAAGTGACTATAAAGAATGAAAAAGGTTAATTTTGATAAAAGGTAAGCACTGAAGCAAGATGTTCCTAAGTATATAAATAATCTCAATTACCTGCACTGATTTGATATTATTTTTAAACCTCTAGCTTAAGCTTCCTTTACTATATATCATAAGTATTAATTTAAACTAGAATACATGAAAAGATCTCTCATTTTTCTATTATTTGATAAATATTCAACAAATATGAATTATAAAAAATGAAGGCTACACTTTTTTGTTTGTGTTTTCTTAAGTCACACATACAATTACTAATATTGTCTACTGTGAGGGAGAATATGCTCTAATTCTCTCTGCTTTTCTTACAAGTTTATCTTTGTTCAATAAATATGTTTGGAATCATTTATGCTTATTTTCTAGTCTTCATGTTCTACTTGATCCTGACGGTCATTGTTTGAAATGGGAAGATTTGTTTTTTTGGTTTGGAATTGTCAGGTAAACAATTGGATTGATGCTTCTTTTCCACACACCTTTTTCTTTCTTATCTTTTAAGAGCAAGTTTCATGGTCTCCTCTGACAATCACATTGGTCTTTTCTATTCTTCCTGTCTTTTTGAAGACCTTTCATTTTCTTCACATATGATGTCCTTTATGTCTTCCCACAACACTTCTGGTTTCCAATCATTAGTGTTCAGTATGTCAAATCTATTCTTGAAAGTCTCCAAATTCAGGTGGGGTACATTCAACGTCACACTTTGTCTCTCATGGACTTGCTCTGATTTTCTTCACTTTCAACTTGAACCTGCACATGATGGTCTGCAGTCAGCCCCTGGCTTTGTCTTGACTGAGAGCTTCTCCCTCATCTCGTTCCATGGATGTAGTTGTTTTGATTCTTGTGTAACCCATCCAGTGATGTCCATGTAAATGTCACACAGGCACTGTGTCAATCATCTCATTGAGTGCCTACCCCTTTTTCACTGACCCTCTACATTACCTAACATGATGATATCCATCTACAGGGACTTGTCCCTTCTGACCACATGATCAAAGTATGAGAGATAAAGTCTGGCCACTTTTGCTTCCAAAGAGCATTTGAGTTATACTTGCTCCAAGACATATTTATGTATTCTTCTAGTATTTCATGGTGCATCCAATATTCTTCACCAATACAAAATTCAAATGCACTGATTCTTCTGTGGTCTTCCTTATTCATTACCCAGCACTCACATACAAATGAGGCTACTGAAAACACCATGCCTTGAGTTAGGTATACCTCAGTCTTCAAAATGAATCTTTGCTCTTGAACACTTTAAAGAGGTCTTTTGTAGCAGATCTGCCCAGTGTCATACATCATTTCTCTTCTTGACTGCTGCTTCCATGGATGTTGATTATAGATCCAAGTAAAATAAAATTCTTGATAATGTCAATGTGTCTTCCACTTATCATTACACAGCTTTTAGGTCCAGTGTGAGGATTTTTGTTTTCTGTATGCTGAGGTGTAATACTTACTGAAGGCTACATTATCTGATTTTCCTCAGTAAGTGCTTCAAGTTCTCTTCACTTCCAGCAAGATTGTGTCATCTGTATATCACATGTCATTACTGAGCTTTCCTCTAATTCTGATGTTGAGTTCTTCTTCATATAGTCCAGCTTCTCAGATTATTTGCTCAGCATACAGATTTAATAAGTATGGTGTAAGGTTACAACCCCTAATGCACAGCTTTTCTGATTTTAAACTATGCAGTATCTCCTTGTTCTGTTCAAACTGCCTCTTGGTCTATATATACAGGTTTCTCCTGAGAAGTATTACGTATTCCAGAATTTCCATTCTTCTCAAAGTTATCCATAATTTGTTATGATCCACACAGTCAAATGCCTTTGCATAGTCAATAAAACACAGATAAACCTCTTTCTGGTATCTTTCCTTTCAGCCAAGAGCCATGTGACATGAGCAATGATATCCCACATTCCATGCCTGCTTCCAAATCTGCCTTGAATTTCTGGCAGTTCCCTGTCAATATATAGATACAACCATTTTAAAATTATTTTTAGCAAAATTTTACTCGCTTGTGATATTAACGATATCAATGTTTTCCACAGGTACAGAGTTATCATCATTTGCTGTTTTCTGTGTGTGTGTGTGTGTGTGTGTGTGTGTTTTAATGACTCTTCGTAGGGTTGAGATGGTATCTCATTGTAGTTTTGATTTGTATGTCTAATGGCTAATGATTACAAGCATATTTTCATGTATTTGTTGTCTGCCCATATGTCTGTGGTGAACTGTCTGGTCATGTCCTTTTTTCCAGTTTTGATTTGGATTTTTTTTTTTTACTATTGGGTTGTGGAAGTTTTCTACGTATTTTAGAGATTAGATCATTATCAGATACCTCCCTGCAAAGATATTTTCCCAGTCTGTAAGTTATCTTTTTATTCTCTTGGTACTATTCTTCTCTTAAGTATTTATCCAAGAGAAATGGAAGCATATGTCTATTGCTATATAAAATGAGCCATGGATGACATTTTTATATTGGCTCCAAGTTGTTTACTAAGACGTAACCAAAGCCAATTAGTGCAAAAATGTCTGCTTGTGACAAACTCAAATTTGTATACATCGAATTGTTTCAAAAATTGCCCAAATGGGCATATTTTTAGCCACCTAAAGCCTGCTTGCTTTATATACTCTTCAAAACTGTGCTTAACATCTGCTATTCCTAGGTAAGATAAAACCTTGTAGTTATAAAGATCTCAGCTGCATCTGTGCTTTGGAGTTCTCTGACCCAGAAACTCCCCACCTTGCTGCAAGAAGACAAAGTGAAAGCTCATGTAAGTCCCCTTTCCCCCTCCTCTCCCCAGGGTTTTCATGCTCTCTTCCCTTTCTGGTGGCCCTCTGCAACACTTGACTCTGTAAGACCTCCGATATGCAGCTATCTGTACATCAGCTCCAATTGTTTCTTATACAATACTGTGCTCTCATGGCCGCATCTTTTCCTTGATTAGCCCACAATTCCCTGAGTATTACTACATCTGTACAAGGAGTTGTACATAGAGATACTTATATAGTAGCTTTACTTGTAAAAGTCAAAACTGAACAAGTAACAATGCACATGTCCATTAAATGGACAAATGGTAAATGGATAAACAAAATGTGATATATCCATGAACATGGAATACTAGTCAGCCAAGCAAAAAGAATGAACTATTCATAAATGATACAACATGGATGACTAACAAAATAAATATGCTCACTAAAAGAAGAAACTCCCCCCAAAAATTCACTATATATTACTTTTTGTTTCCTAAAATTCTAACCAAAAAAAAAAACAAACTCACTGCCATTGAGTCAATCTGACTCATAGTAACCCCCCCCGCCTTTGGGTTTCTGAGGCAGTAAATCTTTACAGAAGTAGATTGCCCAGGCTTCCTTCTGCAGAGTAGCTGGTGGGTTTAAACCATCAGCCTTCTGGTTAGCAGTCAAATGCCTTAGGCACTACATCATCAGAATTCCTTTATATAAAATTCTAGGAAACAAAAAGTAATATATAGTGAAAGAAAGCAAATTACTAACCTAAAAGGGGATATAGGTGTGAAGAGGAAAAACAGGAGGGAGGCAATTAAAGAAGTAAGCGAAAACTTTTTGGGGAGATGAATACATTCATTACCTTAAATGTGATGCTGGCTTCACAGTTACATATGTGAAACAATAAATATGTACAGTTTATTATTGAATATTTATAACTAAATGAAGATATCAAAAAATGATAAAGAACAATCATTTTAAAAAAACAGTAAGCAAGTATCAATTAATTTTGTTTATTACTCACTTCCGACCAGCATGCCTAGTCAATCTAACCATAAGCTTGCGTGCCTCTTCTGAGCTAGACTGAGTGTTCTTAACAAATGAAATTGGTTTTTCAAGTCCATGTTTCTCCAAAAGCTCTGCTACACTAAAAGTGAAAGAAGAATTATTCAAAGTCTTGCTGCAAACCAAAAATAAGAAAACATAACACTTAGGCGTTCAGTTAAAAAAAAAAAAAAAAGAAAAGAAAGCACATAGTATAAACTAATATTACATATTAGATTAATTCTCAGAAAGAAGTTAATACTTTTATATCAAATCTTATGTTTATTACAATATATTGGGTTAAGTAACACACTAAAAAAAGAAAGCATAATCTATCTCTAGCTCAAAATCTTTTTTTTGCAATTTCCATCTATTCTAAAAACAAGTCATTAAAATAAGCCAAATCTATCATTTCAGTAACCCACTTTTAACTCATAACAATCCTATTGAGTATTTTGTTACAGGCAAGGATTCTAGGAAACCTGTAAGAAAAGAATTTTAGTGTTAAAGGACCCAGAAAGATCAGCTGGCTTAATTTCCCTCAAGAATCAATTCTATAAAAACACAAGGTATGTCACAAATTTCCTAGTCTCATGTGAATCTTCTTGATCCCCATAGTCATAAGTACGGCAGATATGCCTAATGTGTCTCACCAAATCTCACATTTATGTATTAAGTACCACGAAGTACTTTACAGTGGCTTGAGAGAATTTAACATTACTTCACAAAGGTAAATTTCATGAGTTACATTACCTAACATTATGTACACTAAAATACTTACCAACTATTTGTGACTGTAAGGTAAAACAGGAATAAAAGTTTTTATTTTAAAATAAGAAATTTAAATTAAGCTAAACAGTAAAACACCTGAATATCATCCAGAAATCTGTAGGATGTCCTGTTTCCTTAAGGTACTGACAGCACCCTTGGTAATACCCACAAGCATGTGGTGAGACAAATTATGCTTATTTTACTATCTCTTTGAGATGTCTCTTTTCAGCTTCATCAGGAAAATGGGGATAACTTTGAAATTCCTATGGAATGAATCTATATTGACTCACTCCACTAACCTTCAGTCAAACCACAATGAATTTTTCAAGAAAGTTGAGGAAGGAGAGACAGAAGCCAAACCTATAACCTATAATAGGAAACAATTTGATTTATTTATTATTATTCAATAAAAAACTTTCACAACACAGAGTTACAAGAATCAGGCTATGTAATAATAGAGATCCTCAGCAGAGCAAATCCTTCATTATACTCACACATTATGGTACACAAATGCATTGTTTTCTTAACTACAACTTGAAACATTTTTACATTAAAATCTCTTAATCTGAATGAACCAAATTACTAGCTAATGGACTTCAAATTATTATATTTTAGTATACATACTAAAATGTCTATAATTATATATATGGAAAAGTTAAATTTATTTGTCTTAAAATTTTATCATTAATATCAATATTTAAAAATTATATATACACATGTAAAAATAAATCTTAGTAAACATTATTTGACTTCCTAAGTGGCAAATCAGGATAATTTCAGTCTTCCAAAGATATGGTTCAATGTTTTGAAAGCAAAGACTACTACTACATTATGATACAGTGTCTAGTACAGTATGATATAACCTAGATATTCAATCAAACATATTATGGTCAGAAAAGGAAAGTTAGGAGTATAATAAGCAGTGTTTTCTCATAGAGGTAATAATTGCTGCAGGAACAAGTATTTCTTACATGCCCCCTATGTATGAAGCACTTTGAAGAGTTACTATTAATTTCATGATCTCAGAAGTTAGATATTATAAATAAGAAAAGCCTGAGATCAAAGATCACATAGCTAGTAACTTACACCACATAGATCTGAACCTGGCTGTACAAGTTTTCAAAATCTATGTTATTATTTTATCACTCTGCTATAATAAGTTAGCAGTCTGCTTAAAAATGAAAACATTTACTATCAAAAGAGTCAAAGAAATATGAAGTCAACTGGAAAAAATGACTACTGGGCAGACTTAAAGTAATTCTCAGACAGACGTTGATAATCAGCATAAAGCCAAAAGACTATCATCATTCTTCTCACCTTAGAATTTGTTCCAGCTGGTCTACCATATCATGAAGAGCTGTAGTCACCTTTGTCTTGTGACTAAAGAGATTAAAAATATAATTATAATTAAAGTTTAGTAGTGTTTTTTTAAAATAAAGCATATAACAAATGTAAATGAAAAACTCATTATATATAATAGTATTTCAATGTTCAGGTAAAATTTCAGTTTTGTTCAGTTCTGATCTCTAATTCACTCAGCATCTTTCAAGAGATGAGAATAAAGAATGCTGGAATAGAATAATAGTCTCTGTTATAGATTAGCCAAATTTAGACAACTATTTTCTAAGATATTTTCAGTTCCACTTAAATGCAAAAAAGAATAATAAATCAACTGTTGTCTTTTTTAAATAACTGGCCAAGGGTAAACCAAAATTTACTACAGTTCTTTTAACAAATAAAACAGATTATGAAGTATGGCACTACCTGTTGGCTTTCTCCTATGCCTCTCCACAATACCCTGTGACTCCTTAGGGAATTTCCAATAGGCTTTTATATCCTCAGGGAAGTTACTCCCTATCATTATTTCCTCTTAATCAAAGGAATTATAAGCACTGCAACAGTAAGGAACCAGATTCAAGGAAACCCCTAATACAGATAATCCCTAGCAGGAAGTGGAGGTAAAAAGCAAATTCTTCCTAAGGACATAAACAGATAAGGAAGTAGGAGAGACAGCATGAAAAACACTATAAACTAATAAAAACTGGCTAATAGAGCAGATTTAGTATGGCACAACACTCTTACAAGTGAACACAGGCATTTGCCAGAGTGTTTAGCAACTGCTATAAAAATCTACATTCAACCTAAACAATTTCTGTGTTCAATCTATGGTGGGAACGTTTCAACTAAGAATAACTGTACTTGACACTCTCAAGTGTCTTCCAAATGATTCAAATAAATTCCAGCAAGACCTTAGGGTTTTATTAGTAAGAAGCCCAGATAAAACTCTTTATCTTGACAAATAATAAGGAAGACCAAAGAAAAACTGATGTATTTGAATTATGGTGTTGGCAAAGAATATTGAATATATCACAGACTGCCAGAACAAAGAACAAATATGTCTTGGAAGAAGTAAAGCCAGAATGTTCATTAGAACTGAGGGTGGCGAGACCTCATCTCATGTACTTTGGACATATTATCAGGAGGGACCCGTTCACTGGAGGAGGACATTGTGCTTGGTACAGTAAAAGGTCAGTGAAAAAGAAAGACCCTCAATGAGATGGACTGACACAGATGCTACAACAATGGATTCAAACATAACCTTAACTGTGAGGACTAGGCAGTGTTTCATTCTGTTGTATATAAGGTTGTTATGAGGCACAACCTACTCGAGACCATCTAACAAGAACAAAAACATCTAGATTTGGAGAATTAAAAATGCCATAACTTGAAAACAAAAGCCTGATTAATTTTCAAACTAGCAATCTATCTTGGTAAAAATCTTATCAACTAATTATTCAGTGCAACTTACAAACATTATACTATCTTTGTAAACGAAGTTTTAGGCCCTGGACTATGGTGATAAATTAGGGCATGTTTCATTTGAATTCATTAAATGGCCATTTGCCAGAGCTCATTCAGCAATAATACAAAAACCAAACTCATTGCAGTCAAGTCAGATGTGACTCACAGTTAGGTAGAATATGTTACTTTGTGAGATGCATGGAAACTAAATAAGCGATTGTTCATTTCCTAAATGGCAAAAAGTGAATGTGTATGTGTGTGTGTGTATATAAATAATGTACTATATTGTAAACTTGGGAGCTCTGGTAGCATAGTGGCTAAGACACTTGCCTGCTAACCAGACGGCTGGTGGTTCAAACCCACCAGCCACTCCTCGGAAGGAAGGTTG